ATAATAATAATAATAATAATAATAATAATAATAATAATAATAATAATAATAATAATAATACAGGTTGTACCTCTCTAGTCCGGCAACCTCGGGACCTGACCGGTGCCGGACCATGGAAATTCACCCTTTTCCTGGATAGATAGTGACTTGTGCTTATGCCTGGAAGCACTAGCACCACTTTCTCTGCATCATGGTCTCTTTGAAGACATATTGAAGGGTTAAATGTCGTATAGTAGCTTCTCAAATTTCGCGAGTTTTTAATTCTTAACGTATTTTATTGGAACACAAAAAAATAAATAAATAAAAATTTTGACGGCGGAAACTTGAATTTCGACGGGTTTGAACGGCCCGCCAACGTGCAGACGACGTGCATAATCGTGTAAACAGCGTCATTTCTCTTGTGTACAAAAGATTCATTGTTGTTTATTACTGAATGTCTTTTTTATTGAATTAATGTTTATGTGCGCAAAATGAGCAATACAATTCATTAATAATACGTAGAATATTAAAACACACGAGGAAATGACACAGCATTGTTTTCGTTGATTACAAAACCAGTGACTGACTGGTTCTACATATAAAACTGAAGAAAATAAGACCTTGGTTGTAGCTGTAGTAAAATTAATATGGTTGTTTTAAGTAATGTTATTTAATGTTAATAAATGGAACAATAGAAGTAGCTAACGATAATGGTAAAGAAAAAGAGAGATCGCATATGTAAGTGCGCATGCGCACACGTGAAAACATATCGTCATTACTTTACATAAGAATATGAAAGCAACACTTATTTACTGTTCATATATATTTTAATTAATGTTTCTGAATTTGTTTTTATTGAATCAATGTACGTGTGTGCAAAATTAACAATACAATTTATTAATAATACGTGGAATATTAGAGGAGACGAGACGGCTGCCGGCATTGTTTATGTTAAAGCTTATGAAACCAGTGACTGATTGGTTCTACATATAAAACTGAAGAAAATAAGACCCTGAGTTTAGCTGCAGTAAAATTAATGTAAAAAATGAATACGGTTGCTTGAAGTACCTGTAATGTTATTTAATGTTAATAAATGGAACAATATAAGTAGCTAACCATTAATGGTAAAAAAAAAAGTGAGACTGCTCGTATGTAAGTGCGCACATGTGAAAATATATCGTCATTACTCTACATAACAATATGAAAGCAACACTTATTTACTGCTCATATAAATTGAAGGGTTAAATGTTGTACTCTGTATAGACAAGCAGAGAGAGAGAGCAGCCGAACTGCCGGATGTAAACAAACCTTAATTTCCCGCAGCTTTTTTTTTTTAAGGGGATTAGCCCACCCGGGCATGGGTCACTGACCCACATTGGGGCCTGAGGGGCAAAAATTTAATACTCCTGTAATAATAATAATAATAATTTAGATAAGTAAAAAAAAAAAAAAAAGCTGCCTGTCTACCTATTGGACAAACTAAAATCGTTCCGGACCACGGGAGTTTCCGGACCACAGAATGCCGGACTAGAGAGGTACAACCTGTAATACTGTAATAATAATTCATAGGTCTAGGTTGTGTTTTTCACTTTTGATCTTTTTTTCATTCTTGTATTTCTTTATTATTATTATTATTATTATTATTATTATTACAGTATTATTGTTATTATTATTATTGTTATCATTCTAATTTTATTTTTGTGTATTTTTTATTAAAAATTTTATTTACTATGAATAATTATTATTATTACTGTATTATTATTATTATTATTATTATTATTATTATTATAATTATTATTACAATTACATTTTCACCCCCAGGCCCCATGTGGGTCAGTGACCTGTGCCCGGGTGGGCTAATAAAAAAAAATAAATAAAATAAAAAATCGGTTTTCAGAGCTTTTCGGTTTTTGGAATTTCGGATAAAGGTTTGTCAACCTGTACTGTAAATATATCTCATAGGTAAAAAAGACAATCATCAGGAACACATCTCCATAAATTCATTTCTCTAACAAAAATAGAGCACAAGTCGTGAATAAAAGTTTATACACTTTTTCCTCGCCATAAATATATTTGCTTCTTAGTTTTTGTCTTTATTTAAGACATCTTCAGACCATGAGACCCACTAATTCCCTCACCCCACCTCCACCTGACATTGTTCAGGCCAGGTCAGCAACATGAATCCCACTAATCCCCTACCACACCTCCATTGCAATATTATTAATTTTTTCCATAAAAGAATAGTCCCCATCATTATTATCATGTTTTTGTGACTGAAGTGAGCGGTATAATTTTGAAAATGTCTAGTTAGCATTTTGCTCACCATTTTTATGGCCAGAACGAAGGTACATCTCCAGTCCCCACTCTTCAGTCTCCCCAAAGTCTGTATGGGACTCTGAATGATGTCTCCACACCACCTTAAGAGTCCCCTAAGCCTTGAAGGGCAACATATGATGACAACCAGATTTGTTCTTAATAATGTGGTGAGTGTTGTTTAAATGTGTTGTAGTGATAGTAGTATTCTAGGATTATTTTTGGCGATACATATGGGTGTCTGATTGGCCTGGTACCTATCCCATTGAACCTCGTGTTATAATGAACCTGATTTACAATATTTTGACCTATAATGGGGTATTCAGGAACCTATCCCCATCACAAATAGAGGTTTACCTGTACAGCTACTCCCCCACTTACGACCTACTCGACTTACGACCACCCACACTTTCGACCTGCCTCAGTCGTACCAAAATTGTCAAATTACGTATTTTAGAGTCCCAACGTTAGCACGCAGAGAGAATTTCAGTTTGTAATTCACTTTAAAATGGCTGGCAAGCTTAAAAGTGAGAGTTTTGTGGTGCTGATAAGAAAAAGAGACACCCATTTTAGATTTTCTATGTATTATTTAAGCATTTTCGACTTACAACAATTTCGACTTACGACCTGGATTTGGGTCTCTAACCCCGTCATAAGTCGGGGAGGAGCTGTAAATGGTTGTCCCTCATATTTGAGGATGGCCGGCAATTGGTCCACCTAGGCATGAACTTGTTTAAGGTGTAGAAGCTGTTGCCAACACAACAACCACACTGTTGAGTTAACGAGCTACATGACCCAGTGTCAAGGAATAGGCTGAGAAAACTGGACAACTCGCCAACTGCACTGGCTAACCACTACCCTGGAACACGATTCGTAAATCAATTAACGTCCAGGTTCCCAATTACTGCTGGGTAGACAGAGGCAATTGGTATACACCATTGTCTACTATGGGTATCAAATTACCAGGTACACTTTTATGCAGAGAACTGCCAGAATTTCAAAATGACCAGTAATTTAAAATTTATTTCTGCAGATATTCTATAAATACATATGTTGTATATATCAGAATACTGTCAAGTGTTAGGAGCAGGTATTCCAACATTTGGTGTGCCAGAGAATATATCAAAGCATTTCAAATTGTAAAGATGGAAAAGTACCTTGGGAGGGGAAGGGAGGAGGGGGGCAATTATAATATGTTGGGGGTAAGTTAACAGACCCAGGGCCCAAACTACAGTATATTGAATTAACAAGGATTCAATGTACACTCCCAAAATGTATCAACCCCCTTGGGCCTGATGTATTTGGAAATGAACACAATAACAAGTGAACAGCAGTCTCAGTTCAATTGGTATTTCCAATTGTAAGTTGCACCTTTTGTTCTTTCTTCTTACACCTGATAATCACCATGATATCTGCACTATACCACCTATTCTCTACATAATGTAATGAAATAGGAAGAATTGTGATACCATATGCAAAATCAATAATGGCATGAGTAACCCCACTGATTTATGCACCTTAGATACTATTTCAGACCCAGGGGATGGGTTGCCAAATAGGAATATAACGTTACTATGTTTTCATGAATAAAGGTTACAATGGAATCGCTTTGAAAGAAATATGAAACACTATGATCCAATATTACAGTCATTTGGAAATTTAGTAAATATAGGTGTATTATGATGCCTTATGTAATTAAAATGACATTATGATATTATTTCTACCTCAATTGATGAGGCAACAATTATATGAATACCTGTATAACGTATCATCTCATGATTCGTGCAGGCATTGGAACACTATTTGATACACACCGAGACGATGTCCTCCAGTCTTCCCATGGATTGACAGTCACTATGGAGACATCACAGGCAACATGAGGCAGTATCAACACCCTTCATGACATAGGCCTAAGTAACAAGGAGATAGCTAACAAAAATTGATTTATAGCTACTGTACTGTTATTCGGAAAATGACATTTCTCCATATCTGTCGGAGCAAGCTGTGTTTTCCAATGAGTCTCGGGTACTAGTGTTGGTCTAAGATTTCCAGCAGAAATCACCCACTATTTGACTGCCAATGATATATTTTTGCTACATTAATATCATTATATTATTCTACTAAAGATGAAGCACGGTGATTAACCATAATTACAACAAATGCCCAAAATAATAACTGCCAACCTCAGATACTAGAAAGCTAGACCCACCACATAATGCAGGAATTACAATTAGAGATCGGAAATATATGTCCTTTGTGACATTGTGTGTACCTGTAAAGCTTAGACAATAAATGTGTCAGTGTTATAACAAGGCTCACGCCCGTATTATTAAACAACATCTTCCCTTGAAGAGGGTCGTCGTGTTTCAACCCGAGTTTTAAACTAAATGAGTCCTGGGGGACACCTCAGTACAGTACTTAACGGGGTGGTGTGGCGGTAAAATTAACTAATTCCAATATTATAAATGAATTTTATTAGAATTAGTTAATTTTACCGCCACACCACCCCGTTAAGTAAAGTACTGCGGTGTCCCTCAGGACTCATTTAGTTTAAAACTCGGTTTGAAACACGACGACCCTCTTCAAGGGAAGATGTTGTTTAATAATACGGGCGTAAGCATCTTACTGTATGTAATTTAAGATTTCTACAGCACATTAACAGATTAAATAATAAACCTGTTTCACAAAATATTATGTTTAACACTGACCTGATGAATCCTCATTGATAGTTACAATACCAGAGCTGACAAAGAACTTCTTGGCAGATCCATCCGCCTCAAACACAGTCATGACGCCAGGTTTCAACACAGCCAATGATGGAACGTGTGCGGGCAGGATACCGAAGCTCCCAGAAAATGACGGCACATCAACCTGCCTTACATTTGCTCCATTGTAAAACACCTGAGAAAAGATAACTAAGATTAGTTTTATCCTCTATTAAGGCATAACATGCAAACCATAATGCACACAAAGCTTTGGTTTAGACTTAACAGCAATGGGTGGGACTAACAACCAATCAGTATCCTTCCTCTAGCAATCACCCTCCTGAGAAAGAAGACTAGAAGGAACAGTTTCCCTCACAGACAATAGCTGGCAGGGTTGAATCGGCTCAAGATGCCACACCTTGCTCTTCTGTTTGGGTTACCTATCTTGGTTTCCCAGATAGTAGAGTACTGTAATCCCCATTCAGTCCTGGCAGACTTTCCCACTTGACTAAGTTGGAGAGGTGTTTGACCTTGGCCATAAAATGGTTTGCCATGTAGTAATTGTCATGTTTTGTGTGAAATAACATTATTATGTGTCCCTACAATGTGTGCATAATTACTCCAATATAACTATATCTTCCCATAAACATGTGTGTTGTAGTGTCCCAAGTGTCATCAGTGTTCAGTAAAGGAGTCTATACATTATTCTAACCTTGTATTAACTAACATGTCTATAACCTACAACCCCCCTCCCTTCCCCATATTTTTTCCCTATTTGCCTCCCCCTGTGGCCCAAATGTTCCACACCCAATTTGTGACCACTCAGTGTACACTCATCACAGGCATGTCACTCGGCCCTGACCTCCAACAGTTTCCCTCTCACTCCAACACTCCCTGTCCTCCCTCATTGTGCCATCATTATGCACTAAACTATGTGATGTCTTTACAAGGAAAACATATAATGACACAGTAAAGTGTGTACATGAAAGAAAGAAAGAATCTCCTTGGACTGACAAACTGAAAAATATTCTGAAAACATAGTACTGTTCTGTACTGTACTGGGTTATTAGTGTTGAATGTCTACTACAATTAACCATTAAATATTTTGGCCACCAGTAATTAAGTACCGTACAGGTACAGTAGCATTTTTGTCAAGAACCACAAATTCTTTTAAAATTCCAACAAGAACACACTATAATAATAATAATACAGTAAGTCCTTGATATATGCAAATTCACACATATGTGAAGACCCTATTCCTACCAGGAATTCAATTAATGTGAGCAAAATTCAGCCTTATGCAAGATGTCATACTCCCTGATATGGATTCCAACCCTGATGACCCTGCAGATGTCACTCCAACACCATTACCCATTATGTAAAACCTCAACCAGCACCTCCATCATCTTGTCTACCTTAGTTGATGTATATGCTTTTATTGTTAAGTACACTGTACTGTACACTTGCTTTATCTATTATTTTAAAAATAATACAGGTTGACAATCCCTTATCCGAAATCCTTGGGACCAGATGCACTTCGGTTTTTGGAATTTTTCGGATTTCAGAATGCTCTCTCTCTCTCTCTCTCTCTTTTTTTTTACAGGGATCAGCCCACCCGGGCACAGCAGATCACTGACTCACATTGGGGCCTGGGGGTTAAAATATAATAATAATAATAATAATAATATTAATAATAATAATAATAATATTAATAATAATAATAATAATAATAATAATTCATAGGTCTAGGTCATGTTTCTCACTTTTGATCTTTTTTTCATTCTTGTATTTCTTTATTATTATTATTATTATTTCATTATTACAGTATTTTTGTTTTTTATTATTATTATTATTGTTATCATTCTTATTGTATTTTTGTGTATTTTTTATTAAAATTTTTATTTACTATGAATAATTATTATTATTACTGTATTATCATTATTATTATTACCTGTATTATTATAATTATTATTACTATTACATTTTCACCCCCCAGGCCCCGATGTGGGTCAGTGACATGTGCCCGGGTGGACTAACAAAAAATAAATAAATAAAAAAATTAAAATAAAAAAATAAATAAATAAATAAATAAATTGCTCCACAATTTTTTTTTTCGGTTTTCGGAATTTCGGATAAAGGGTTGTCAACCTGTATTGTATTGATTTGTTTTATGATTATTTGTCTTGAAAATGGGTCTGGAACATTTTAATTTTAGGTTATGGGACGTATCTTATTTTTTCCCATTTAAATAAGTACCCCCTGCACTCGATACAGATACAGTATATGCGAGGGTTTTTAGGAACCCGTTCCTTGCATAAATCGAGGACTTACTGTAGCTGGTCTTTTGTTTCTCAAAAGCACCAGTTCTTTTAAAGAATTCACTAGTGTACGAAACACTACAAAGTCAAGGACCTGAGAATATAAAGAAATACTGCACTACAATAAAACATCACAAAAGTGACAGTTCGACATCTATCATTCATATACCCTCAAGTTTTAATACTTACTAAACCCTGTACAGTAATTCACCATCACTTAATCCTGCTCAGGATCATAAGCTTTCAAAAGAAGAAAGGTCTAAGTTATTTCTTAAAGGCCTCCACAGAAGTCAGCTGCTTCATCAAGGCAGGCAACCAATTGTACAATCTGGGTGATGCATAAGAAAAGGATCGGGCAGCAAGGGAACATTCCCATACTGCTTTAGGCTCCTCAAGGCGCAAAGGATCATCACTACTACGCAAAATCATTTCAGAATGTGTAGCCAGTGAAATTATTAGGTTGGCCAAATACTTAGGCTCACCAAACATTAGTGTCTTAAAAGTCATTAGACCGACTTTGAACCCTACCTTAGCTTTAATTGGAAGCCAATGTAATTCGATCAAGAATGGGGTAGTGGGAGTCCTCAGTGGGAGAGCAAAAATAAGCCTGGCAACCCTGTTCAACAGTTTGAACTCTCTTCAGTAGGTAATTAGGTAGGCATACCTACCCATAATGTTACAATAGTCAACCCAAGACAAAACAAATAAATGTACAGTCGGCCCTTAACATACTCGGGGGTTAGGTAACAGAGATACCCGTGAATGTTAAAAATCCGTGTACTTTTCCTGCCCCCCCCCCTAAAAAACCCTGGCCCCCCCATGTCATTATTTACCGTGTATACCTGTGTGTAGTTCGAGTTTTTAAGACCAATTATTTGGCAAAAAATTGGGGGTCGACCTCTAAACGGGTAATAGTTTCATTAGGTTGAAAAATATTTACCAGTAACTACCAGTAAACAATGGAAACGACGCACCAAGGCACCACCAGCTGTGAGTGTTTGTACAGTTGCCAGGGCAGATCTCTTGCGTCATCATAGCAAGCCCAAAGTAGCCAAATGCATGGTATGGTAGCACAGGACGATGTAAAACATAAAGTATTAATTTTTTAAAGTTTATTTATAGATACATAAATTTTTGTTCATTACATTTGAAACATCAGTCTTTGTTAATTAAATTTGAAACAAAAAAACTACGATACCGTATTTCTAAATACAGGGTATTTTCATTAAAATATTACATCACAAGTATATTTTACCTTAACTGTGACTGAATGAATAAATTCTCAGAAATAAATATGGAAATGTAATATTTTTGCTGAAATTACGTACGTATTACAGTGGAAAGTGGGATAAAATCATGACGAAAACAATGACTTTCGCTTTCTTTCATTGTTCAAAAGATTTTACAGTAATCGCTTTTTGATTAGTTAAAAACTGTTGTACTCGTGACTGTATTACAATAATATTCTATCCTATCATTAGCCTTATAATCCCACTCCTGAAAACCATTCAGCGTATTACGGTAACATCTTTTGAACAGGAAAGAGAAGTCATTGCTTTCACAATTTTATCCCATATCTTCACTGAATACGTGACATCATTTCAGCAAAATATTACATTTCCATGTTCTCAGAAATAAATGGTAGTTTTGTTGAAACGTAATGTACAATATTTAATATTAAAATGCAAAAATAGCTATAAAACAATTAACTAATGTACTGGCTGGCATCTCCGTCACCACTCCTCCCAACTCCCTCCTCCTCCCTCCTGCCTCCACCTCCTCACCACTACTTTCGACAACAAACACAAATGTTTTGTGAATAACTGCACCTCCACTTCCTATGTACAGTACTGAACTGTACTGTGCTGCATTTTACAAACAATAAACATAGCAAGAAAAGCTATTAAAAAAAGAGATAAAAATTTCACTTTACTGTACCGTACCTATCCTCGGCGACAGGACGGGGTCATCACTCATCGTCACTTAATTCCATAACTGGTGGTGAAGTGGGGGCATGCTGATTCAGCTGCTTCTCACTGCCGCCAGTGATTGATGGTGTTAAATCTCCTTCGGTGATCAAAGAACATGGTGATGGGGAGTTGTCGTCTTTTCTTTCATTTCTTCCATGATGTTTTTGTATGGCAAAAACGTCATCCATCCTCGAGAATTTCAGGGCACGCACCATGGAGGGGTCCATATTATAGGCCAGGTTTTTCAGTGCCTCAATATTCCTGGTCATCTCCCCAACTTCTCCAACGTCATTTCTTGGTGCTCTTCTTCATCCTCTTTCTTCGCTTCTCCTTCCTTGCCTGAGTCTACTAACTCCTGTAGATCCTCCTCGGTCAGCTCAGTTTTGTGCTCTTCAATTAGCTCCTAATCATCCTCTGCCATGTCCTGGAAGCCTTCAGCAGCCACTTTCCTTGACAGTGCCAGGGTCTTTCTGAATATTTTCATTAAATCCATCAAAATCATTTTCTTGTCATCGTCTTAAGCACCAAACAGCTCCTCCCAGTCTTCTCCTTGAATAGGGCTAGAGAGTGACGTGTTTTCGAATCGTTTTCAATTAAAAATGTTACAGCACATGTATATTTTACCTAAACTGTGCCTGAATGAATATATTCTCAGAAATAAATAGTAGTTTTGCTGAGCGTGATGTACAGGTAGTTCTGCTATACTAGCGATAATTGTGTTCTTGTAAAATATAGGTGTTATAGAAAATTCGCGTAATAGAAATAACAGGGCTATGGAAAATAGGGTTAGGTGCAGATTACGAAATCGAAAAAATTTAGTAGTTAGCATAACACAAGGACAGCACAGTCTAAATAAATGTTACATTCATATCTAATAATGAAATCATACAGTAAATGTAATTTTACTTGATGGGAGAAGGAGTGATTTTGAGGTTGATAAA